GAGAGAGAGAGAGAGAGAGAGAGAGAGAGAGAGAGAGAGAGAGAGAGAGAGAGAGATGCACAAATATAAAATGAAATGAAATTCTGGGAAGAGGGGAAGGGAGCTACCTGGTTGTCCATGTCTCTGATGACTAATAAAACTGGACTATCGAGAGAACATGATTTACGATACAGAGTTTTCAAGCTGGTTCCATGCTCTTGTGTACTGTAGACAAGCTTCCATGGATATCCCTGCACTCGGGCTGGGAGGGATTGAGCAAGCTAGAACAGAAAAAAAAATCCTATTGAAAAGGCAACTTGTTCCTTTTGTCAGGTATTATGACTAAATTTGCTGTAAACAGTCTATGTTATATTCACTGATATGCAGTAACTGAAAAAGTGTGCTTTTTGGGGCATCAGAACAACATGTACTGCTTGTAATGACCATCAAAAGAGTGAGGAACAACATCATCATAACTTCAAATGATCACTGAATTAAGCAGCGAGGATTACTAGTATAGATTTCCTATTGGATCAGAAAGCCCAAATTTAAAATGTGGCTCCTTGGATTTGATGCTGCATTTTCAAACAAAAGGCAATCATGAATTTAAAAAAAATCTGGCTATCCTTTTATCTTTGGAACAGAATTCTGGCTTCTAGAAAAGAGAGAAGAGCCTTGATCTTATGCCACATAGTCTTAAAACTTGAGGAATCTTAGGTGAGATTAAGGCTGTAGCAGTGACTAAAATTACATCTCCTGAAATTAATACAGAAGGCCTCAGAAATCTGGACCAAAACACAGAGCATGCAGGAAGTCCATTTTAAGATAAGGCAGCACATCTAATTGCTTTACAGTGAGGCACTGAGGGGAGGATGTGGCCTATGGTCTTTTTTACCTTTAAGAGGAGTGATTAATTAACAGATGTCTGTTAGACACCTACCCTTAATCAAAGTAATTTGTTATATATTGATGGCATCCCTTTCAAGGATAGCTCTTGTTGTTTTCTGTCTGTTGCTTACTTGCTGTATGAGGTCAATTATCTTCCTGTGAATAAAAGGACTTTTGTATCTTTTGGGGTGACCTGATTGTATGCCCTGGATTCAAAGTAGTGTTACAGGGACTTGGAAATAAAAACAAAACAAAACTGGAGGCATTTTGAAGCTAACTAATGTACTATTTATTTGTGGGCTACACTCCATTTTATAGGCTATCTCAAAACCATGTGCCATAATAAACAAGTTGCTTTTAAAGAAGACCCTTGTAGCAACAAACTAACGTAGCTACCCATCTTGAATTTCAAATTACCATGAAAAAGTCAGTAACAGGTCTGAGCAGAAGGAAATCATATCAGCGTTTACCTGTTCCACATGCATGTTTTCTAAAAGCACACTTTGGTTTTTTAAGGTAGGCAAAGCATCATCTTCACCATCATCTTCACAGTAGCTGCAGACACTCTGTCGGCGTTTTGCCTCTTCTACAGTTATAATCTAGACAGATGAAAATGTTTTTGCATCTTTCATAATGTTATATAAAAAATTGATAAAGGAAAAAATGTATTCTACGCAGCAATGTTTCTCAACTTCAGTAACATGAACAAGTATGAACTTCAGCTCCTAGAAGCAGGCTGGCTGAGGAATTCTGGGAGTTGAATTCCGTTCCTATTCATTCAATGAGGTTGAGAAACACTGCTATATAGCAGGGGTGTCAAACTCGCAACATCACGTGAAGTGTTGCGACGTATTGCGCCTTTTTTTCCATTGCCGGCAAAGGGTTGGGCGCGGTTTCACCATGACGCATCCGGCCCGTGGGCCGGCAGTTTGACACCCCTGCTATATAGGGTCAAGGAATCATAACAAAAGTAAATAACCTCAAATGTGCCACTGCTGACGCACAAGGGACTTTGTGGTTGACATCCTGACAGAACTCATAAAAACCTTTATAATAAACTATGACAAAATGTAATGAAGTTGTAACAAGCTGTCAAACAGTTTGCACAATGGCTACACTATAAAGTAGTTGTGTAAACATGTAAATGATTTCAGAAAGCCTGAAGGTATCAAAAAAGGGGATCAGGAAGCAAGTATCAAAAACTTTGAGCTAAGTGAAGGAAATAACTCAATTTTCAGCCATAGCATCCACATCTTTAAATCTGTTCACATGATAGAATTAAACATAAGAACTTATATAAAATCATTTAAATTGTTCATCTCTTAGACATTTTTTTCTTTTCAGCAACAGCAGCTTCATCACTGCTATTTGAAGTAACCAGTCATGTATACAGTGACATACGTAATAAGTAACCAGTCATGTATACAGTGACATAATGGTAATATCATGAATAGGAGAACCCGTTTAAACAACCCAAAACGTAGAGAAATATTTAAAGATAATATTTTAAAGTTATATTATGCACATGCTATTTAAAACACTTAATTTCAAACGTGGCTATGAAGAGAACATTCAGGCATCATTTCTGAATTAAGAATATTTAAATAAAATATTATTAGCTTTATTATTAGCTTTATAATATTGCTAGATCAATTCTTGCCATTGAATACAATGAGATTACAAAATATGGGCCGTGATCTAAAGAAAGACACTCCCTAACATTGCCAAATATTGCCAATTGACAAGTGAGCACCTGATTGTTATTTCAACATTTCTTGACAATACTTCTTGACATTATTGTAAAGTTTCTTGGAACTACTAGATGAGACTAGTCCAGAATAAAATGCCTTAAAAGGTAAGGCTATGGTTTAGTTAGCATGTATTCCATGGAAATGTGCTATAATACTTTTGTTTTAGAGAGAATTTTATGATGAGCAGAATTTATTTTCTATCATTTTATGGAGTATCTATTCTCCAAAATGGCCATTCATATAATTACATCAGCTGCTAATTTATTTTATACTGTGATCCTACAGCCTAAGTTTCATTTCAAGTTTGAAACATAAACCTGGCATTCTATTTTAATCAATTGGTTTGGTTTATCATTAAGGTTTCTCAGTATTGGAGTATTTTTAATTATTTAGAGGACTTATAGCCCACCTTTCCATTTCTGTAAAATGCTCATGGTGAGTTATATGAATAATAACATCAATTACTAATCAACAGTAGTGATCAAAACATTATTATAAAATAATTAGAAACGCAGGCTATAAGAACAAAAAGGAAGTTAATATATTTTCCAATCTGGAAAGAAAACATGAACCAGTTTTAAGCAATTGCATTTCAAAGACAGATTTTAGATTAAATAATTCTAATCCTCAACTAAAAATAAAACATTAATGATCAAAAGAACATACATGAAAATATATTCCATAATAGAAAAAATAGGAAAATGAAAGAATGAAAATAATCAGGATCAGGAATACATCTTGAAGCTATAATTGTATACTAAGTGACCTAACTGTAAATCCTACTAATCCCAAGACTCAGCCATTCAAAAGAAATACAGAAGCATGTAGCATGAACCCAAATAAGCTGCCTTTCCTGAGAAACAAATTATCTTAACATTCTCAGGCACAGGCTAAACAAATCTGTAAACATCTGTTTCTTCTGAAGTTGCCTTTCCATTCTGCATATGAACTTGCAACTAAATCTTCCACGTGCGTTCAGTTCACGTTTTGTTGCTAGCAAACAAAAGAACTGGGGGAAAAGTCAAGAGATTTCAGCAGATTTCCATACCTGCACAAAAGGTTCCTGTTCTTCCTCAGACCTAGCACAGTACAGAATTTGAAAATTCAAAGCCATTCCCTTAACTCTCATTTTTTTAGCTTCGTTCCTTTCCCAGTTTCAACTTTTGCTTACAAAAAGAAGCTGCCGCTATTTGCTTCGAGAAGGAGTGAAAGCATACAGTCTATACTTCCTTAAAGAATTAACTTTCGTTTTCCACTGTATATGACAAAGAGTAACCAGGCAACCTTAAATTTCATCAGAGGAACTACCATAAATGTACTTAGGCAGCTGCTGCAGCTAATTTAGAGATCATATCTTGGTTTATTATTCTGAAATTAATTTTCATTCTCTGATTTGTGACGACCAGGCTTATTCATTCCCATTCCAGGAAGCTGTAATGGGAATATGTAATATAATTCAGTCTCACTGGTTTATTATTGGTATTACTCTTCAAACTCATCTGACTGAACAGGCTTAATTATCATTACACTATGAATGTTTTTTATTACGGTCACTGACCAGAATTGCAAACAAAAACACATTAAAAAGTAAAGTACTCTCCCATCTCATTCTCACCCATCAATTCATGTCCTCTAACAAAATATTGTGCGCTCTTTCTCACCCACATCACTTTCATTAAGAAAGTTGCACATTTTTTCTAAAATATCTGGGTTTTTTTCAAAATTACCATTCATTAGAGCATAACATACAATTACCACCAACTATGCTACTGTCATAATCATATACAGCAATCTAGATAACACCATACTTTCCAACATGCATTCTAGCCCTTAATTCATTATTAAACCTGCACCTTCACTTCCATTCGTGTGCTGATCATCACCACTCCACAAATCAGGAAACTTTCATTACATTCTGTTACATATTTCCCTTATTCTTATATCCATCAGTTCAAGAAATATCTATTTTTCTTTCATTTCACTTGTTAATTTATGCTATCTTCTATTCATACGTCACAAGTTTTCATACAGTTTTGCTGTCACCAGATGTGCTCATAGGTATTTTCCTCTGCCCCATCATGTTTTGGTCAATTAAAGCTTTCATGTAAAGCTTTTTTAATAAGGTAAGAAAAGAGGAAAATAGATTTCCAGCCATAGATATACCTATATTATACAGAAAATTGTTTGATTTACTGGTTTACAGATTTACATAATAATAAAAGATAAAGTGAATTATGGTCTTGGAACTAAAAAAAACCTGTTAATGAGACTGAAATATAACTAATCAAAGAGGGAGAAGAGTAAGATTGAAAGAAAACTGATGAAATTTTGTGGGGCAGGAAGACATTTTCCCAAATGAAGGTCAATACTAATTTGACTGCAATTTGATAACCTCCAATCCTGAAATTGAACAATATGTGACAGGGAACTGTATTTTTGGCTCTGGGAACTTCTATTCACTAAGCAAAACCTATTTCCCTAATCTTGAATCTTGTAAAATGGAGATTCATTACCATTTTGATTGTTGCAACAGAGAAGTGGCTTTATTTGACCTATGGCTAATCAGATGTTTGGTGTAAAACTAGATAAAGAAGATATTTATTATTTTTATTTAAACATCATCTATAAGATGCCCAACTGTAAGAAAGTACTTTAAGAGCCAATATTCAAGCAGCATATAGAAGTTGAGTATCAAATCCTTTTGTATTGTCTCATCCCCTTATATCTGACATAGTTATTTGTTTTTCAATTGCCAGTTGGCAAACACAAGAACTATAAACTGGACCAAAAAGAAATAATCCAAGGCTAAGGGGATTACATGAAGCAGAAAACTGTTAATTGCAATCTACTGTACAGTCTCTGATAATTCCAAATTCAAGAAACAAAACACTCACCTCCCAGCTTTTTGTTGAGGGTTCACCGAAGAAATTGTCTATCATGTCAAGCTCCTCCTTTTCCACCACCACAAAACCCTGCTCCTTAGCATCTTTGCCATATATATCTGGAGACCATTGTACAAAAAAGGTATACAGATGATCTACCCTATCAAACAAAGAAACAAAAAAAGAGTTAAGAGTTCTAAAAACAATAAACTGGAGGATGCAAATTCACTTGATTGCTAATCAAGTTTAGTATCTGTCTAAAAAAGTTTTTGCTCAAGCATATCATGCCACCAGAGCCATCATTGTTAAATTTTATCCGGAAGCGTTAGAGTTAGTCTTTCTTATTGGCTGGGGACCAACAGCTGCTGGGAAATGACAGCTCCTGCTTTCTTGCAGCACAAAATGATATCATAACAGGCATAAATCACCCTAGTTCCAGCCATCAGCCAACAAGCAAACATCTTTCTCTTCCCTCCTCCAAGTAGACTTTGGTCTCTTCTATGACCAGTGAGTAGTGGTTACTCAAGGCTGGGAGTTATGCATATACTGTGCAGAAAATATCTTCTATAGAAACATCAATAGCAAAGTGCCATATTAGTGCACAAGTAAACTAGTGTATTCTGACAATGTCAATCTACACATTTCTTCATCAACTAAAGCCATGCAGTTCTTCTGAGCCAACTCTGGAGAAAGAACACTCTATTATAAAGAATGAATAACTTAAGTTTGACAGACAGTGGTCAGCCCATTTAAAGGACAGGTTCTCAGAAAAAGACTATCAGCACAGAGAGAGCATGTAGGAAAGAAGCTGTAAAGTTGACAAACTATAAATACTGTAATTCGTTGCAGCTGTACCTGCACTTCTAACTAAATTTGATAGCAATGAATAAGGAGATGAATCCTACATGAAGGCAATAGAAATACAAAAGCCAGTTTCCCATAAAGTTTTGTAACAGAATGATATGGTGGTTTGTATTGCTCCAAGATGAAGCTTTATCTCTCATTCTGTTTCCAAAGCTTAATTTAACATTGTTAACCCTGATCAAAGGCTTTCAGAAATGCTAAGCACACAGAGGCAACACCAGTCCAAACAACCAAATGACCTGGACTGCCAACCTTTTACACAGTCCCTCTCCTAACACTAATATTTGTACACAAATAAGCTTCACCAAGATTATCCCAGGCAATAAGAGAGCAGCGAACCTCAAAACACAAATCTTTGTTTTTCCCAGCAACACAAGGTAGCCAGTGAAAACCCAGCAGGGTATCACCTTTGCATGAAACTGTCAATAAAGAGGCATCTCCCAAAAATATGAATTTAGTTTCAATGTTCAGGAGCAGTTAGTCTTGACTTCTGCAGTTATTAGCCCAAAAGGATGAGAGTGATAAAAAAAAGCAGTGAATAGTACGCTACTAAGACATTCCTTAATATTACTTCACCCTTAAAAGGATTTGTAGCAGTATTTGTTTCAATGTTTTTAAAGCTTCATACAGAATGATAACCAAGCAGAGCTATAAACCACCAACCTTCCTTTACAGCAAGCACATACAAATTTAACATAAAGCAATATGTTTATACTCACTCTGCAATACTGTTAACATTCCCCATTGCAAGAAACACAATGAAGGATCTTCAGTCAGCTAGGTCAGATGCAACTGGTCAACGGGAATATTTGAACAAAAGCCCTTATAAAGCACAAGTCTTTAACGATTACGTGCAAAAAGATAAGGTGCATTCCTTAAGAAGGATGCCTATTTCACAATCACAGTGCAAGAGTGGTCAAGCCACTGTCTAATCCAGTTTCACTATCTGAGCTGATGTAGAACTGTTGTGCTACATGTCTAAAGTCACAATCAGGGCAAAAACATCCAGGAGACAACTGCAGTTAGGACATACTGCACGTTATTGCAACGTAAGCCATCTGAATTGTTATGTGATCAGTCAGCAAAGTTGTCAGCTACCTGATGTCATTTCCAGAGTGCATGCTATATTGAAAAAATAACAACACTCGGGAAACCTCTTAAAGACTAACAAACTTTAGCCAAACTTTCATTGCACAGAGTCCACTTGCAAGATTTCAGGAAGTGACTATTGTGTTGTAAAGCTTCTTAAAATCTCTTAACACACTGTATTGATGAGAGGACTGATACGTAACATGTAAAATGTAACACATGTTAAGAGAGATGACATCTATTACTAAAGAACAGTTTTGAACAATTCTTAGAAGACAAATGAAATATGAAACACACATCAATGGAAATGCTGGAGAGCATTACAGAAAATTGTAATAGACTGAACATTCTCAAGAGGGAGAAATCATCACTTTTTTTCAAGGATAAATGACTATTTTTTTTAATTCAAATTTTTATTGATTTTCAAATAAACAAGTTAGAAATATGGTATACATTAATAAACAAGAAAAAAAACCCATATTAAATATCTATTCCGAGATGCTCAGCAGCCCCCCTGCCTGCGTCCGCCCTCTCTTTCACCCTTCCTACCTACTTCCCTCTTCTCTCTTCTCCTCCTACCTACACCTCTCTCCTCCTTCCTCCTCTCAACTACCCTACACAATGACTATTGTTCAAGTTCATTTTAGATGACTTCATCAACAGAAGTATGCATTTTGAGAGATGGCCACTGAGTTTCTGAAAACTTGGGGGGGGGGGAGAGAGAGGGAGGGAGGGAGAGAGAGAGAGAGAGAGAGAGAGAGAGAGAGAGAGAGAGAGAGAGAGAGAGAGAGACTGACTTTTGAAAGGAGCCAAGAAGCATTTCACAAAGACCTTGAACATACCGTTCTCGAGGAACAGCAAACCAGTATTCCGGTTGCTTTCGTCTTTTATGATATTGTTGATCCATCACAGCTGGCTGGGAAATGAAACTCTTCCTCATAGGTGTGCCTACTTTGATGCACAGAAACATTGGTGGGGTCTTGCTTTTTTCCTCTTTTGAAGGAAGCATATCTGAATTCAGAGATTGTCCAGTCACAAAATAACCAAAACAGATTGTTAATGTAACAAATACACAGAAATACCAATAAATTTGATAATAAATCATCTCACCCAGTTCTCCTATATAACAATTGTTATGATGTTTGTTGCTAATCAATAAAATTGCAGAATTTCTAAAATAAAAAAAATCATAGAAAATATAAATGGATTCTTCTTTCTGCTCCATAGCTATGGGAGCAAAATTGGTGAGAGTATGTGAGAAGCCTATCTCAATGGCTACTTCTTAAGTCTTAGTTCCCTGTTATTGAGTTCCATCTCTGTTCTTTCATTATCAAAGTTTCTTATATTTAAATAAAACTTATGCCAGTTAGATTGTTAAGCTTTAATCTGCTGCATGCTATTCTTTATTTCTTACTGATCATGTTTTACTTAACACGTTTTAATGCCTGAGTTTTCTGAGAGAGAAAATTAAAGTGCAAGTGTTCAAGCACTCATTCTGTTTTCCAGATAACTACACAATTTTAATTAATTTCCTTGAAATTCAAGATTTTACATAGTATACAAATAGTATACAAATATTACATCTCTTATGCCTGCTGAGAGAGAGAGAGAGATTCCCAGCAAGATCATATATATGTTTTGCAGCAAGACCTTAGAAAAAGTTATTGTCATGACAATCCTAGAAATTACAGCACTAAGAACTCATCATGGTAGAATATTTATAGCAAATGTATGATATCAACCAATGTGGAATAACAGAATCAGTCTCTGAAGAAACATTTAGAAGCCTGAGTGACTGAAAGGTTATCTTTGAGTGTTTGGTTAGCCTTAAGGATAGAGAGGATTAGAGCCTAACATAAGAAAAACACGATTGTGCAATATAATGGAAGAAGCTGTTTGAATGCTAAGCAAATTTTGTGTTGAATCACCCCAGGCCCAATTTTAATTAATTAATGATGCAGCATAAGATTTATACGTACAGAATGGATATCAGGCTGAATCAAAAATTATCCATGTTATAAGGAAGGTGAAAACAAGAATTTAGATTAAAAAAAAAACAAATTCAGCAAACAGGCTTACCTTCAATGGGCACTTGGACTCTCTGCAACAGCCACAGTCTGATTTCAGAGTTTTTATCTAGATGAGATGTCAAAAAAGGGGTATCTAATCCTTCACATGTTTTTTTCTCTGCTGCTACTGAGCCAGTTTCCAACAAAGGCTCATTTCTTACAACCAAGGAGGATTCAAGTTCTTCCTTTTTGACAGCAAGAACTTCAGTGGATTGGGATTTTGAACAGCTAAGTGTGAGATCTATGCCCACAGGCATATTTTTCTTTTCTTCTTTGACTTCATCCTTAGGCAAGTAATCAATAGGCGATGGTTCGTCTTTATCATGACTGAGATAAAATTCAATAAGCTTGTCCTTATTCAACTCTTTGTTTGCATCCAAGTTCATCTCTATCTTATTGGTTGGTGAACTTCCACCCTTGTTCATTTCAGGCATCGCATCCAGCTTTTCACAGGTGTCTAGATCTAGATCGTCCTTAGAGACTTTACGCTTTACCCCAGATAAATCTAACACTGGTTGCTCATAATTGTCTTTGTTACTTGCTTGCAACTGAACCTCCTTTTTTATTTTGCAATGATCCGTGTGAAGATCAACTGATCCAGCATCTCTGCAATCTATTTTACTATCCATCTGCAATGAGGTCTTGTTTACCTCAATAAAGTCATCTTCCTCCAGAAGGGAATTGTCTTTGGTTAAGTCCAAAGTTATATTTGATACAGAACATTCTGCACTATAGGTTTTCAAAGTCACCTGTTCTAAAGAGTCAGGAGTAGCAGAGTCCTTTGGTGTTTCTACTGATTCGGATGTGACTAGGGAAGGACTTGCAGAAGACTTTAGGACTTTGAAATCTGAAGATTTCTCTTTGTCTGAGTAGTTTATTGGTCTGGAATTAGGAGCAAGAGAACTGTCTATTTTCTGTTGCTTCTTTTCTTTGTTCATGGATTTAAATTTACTGAAAGGATTGATGTCCTTCTCAGAGGCAAGATCTTCCCATTCACGGGGCCTGTACAGAGGACAAAGATCCTTTGGAATATCGCTGCCAGGACAGATGGTGGGGTGTATATGGAGTATTAAAAAATGGAGAACAAAATAAAAACAAATGAGAACACTTAAATAAACTTAAATAGTTAAAATAGTTAAATAAAATACTTAAAATAATTAAATAAAATTCAAATATGACAACAAAGGAGACATCAACTGAAACGTACCAAAACAATTCATGGAAATAACATGGTTTAACCCAATGACTTCCTTCAAAATTAAGTGAAAGCCAATTAAAATAAAGTAATTATAAAGTTGAAATAACTGTGGAAGTAGGGATATCAATTTATCCTGAAGCAGCTTAAAGATACTTTAAAAGAAGCAAGAACAAAAAAGACCCTTGAGGAACAAGGGAAGCAAACAAACTTCATCTCATCATGAGAATTTTTTTGTTTCACAACACTGGAAAAAAATTGGCAGCAGGCATAAAAAAATTCCATTTTTTAAGATTATAATAATAAAAAATATTTAATTTTAAATATAGATTTACATAGCAGCCCAACTGGTATGTGACACAATCATGAAATCTGAACTGTAACAACCACTACAGCAAGCACATATAAATACATTTTTATTCAAATGTCTGGAATTTTAAAGCAGGTTAACTGTCCAATTTCACTAGAATCAAATAATCAAAGCCATCTAAAAATAATAATTAAAAAAATCTTCAAATCAGAGGAAAATCCCGATTGCTTCCTCAATACCCATGCTTCTTAATAAATGTTCTAAAAAGTATGATCATTTGTCTCTAGTAGAAATGATTATTTGATTATAGCTCTTTCTTGATGTCCCTTCAACATCTCCAATTCTAAAAGTTAACTTCTGTAAAGTAAAGTAAAAAAATCTAAGGCGGCTGATGTCTCTGTTGTTTTTTGTTATCTTATGCTAAAACTTTAGTGTTGAAGCAATTAATGAAGACATGTTGGTGCTTCTATTTAAGAAATCAGACACCAAAAAGTTAATTAAAATAACCATTAAGGAAAAAAGTAAGGGAATATAACTAAAACCACTTTTTATATAATTTTCACATGTTAGAACTA